GTAAATTGTGATGGATGTGTTAAATAATTAAATTAGAATTATGTTACGTGTTTACGTGGTTTTACATATTATGTAAAAAAAGATAAAACGGACGCCTTCGGCTAATTTGCTTGGCGCAAACGTATTGACCGTATTGCAGCCACRTCGAGGGGCCTGGCCCCTGGCCTAAGTCCGTCACTGTATGGACTCCTTAATAAAATATAATGGGCCAGTTGAAATAATTTATATAATTTAAATTAATACTTATATCAAATTCTTCGATATCTCATATTTATGCCATATTAACAATTGTTATTGGTAATTTATACATTATACTAAAATTATATACTTTTAAAAAGGTTAATACTGATTAGGCTACGGCTAACAATGATAAACAATAAGACTTGACAGATAGCACTAAATCTGATTATCACTTATCCCAAGGGTCAATGTGACATATAATAAATTATTCAGTCATGATGGTAAATTCGAAAATAAAATAAATCGGACCAACACAAAAGGTATTCGTTTCTATATTTTTATAAATAAAAATATAAATACAATTATCGTAACATAGTTACTACGTTTTTGTTTTCAATTTTTCTATTGTCCATTATTGCATATGAATTTTTGTATTGTAGAATAATTTGGTTTAGTTTTCTGTTATACTTAACGTTTTTAGAAAGTTTTTTGGTACCTTCAAATGTGTATAATATTATGACACTGATAATTTTTAGTAAAACAGTAAATACTTTTATAAAACCRATAATTATTATTTTAGTATTTATACTAGTATAATTTATACCACTACAGCTTATGGCCTGGGCTATGTAGCATTATATGTTACATTCCTTCTCATAGTTCTCTACTCAAACAGTAATTAGGTACAAGACACACATAAATAATAATAAATAATATATTTCACAAGTAAACAACATAATAATATTATAAATTAAATATGGACAGTATGATAATGAAATCATAACATATTAAATTATTAACAAACATTTATACAAAAACAAAATATTAATTATTACATGTGTTGCATATCAGCGCCATGCCATCGTTGTTTTTGAATAGTCTGTTACTCTGTATACCATTGTCTTCGAAATCTATAATTATTATATTTGTTTAGTTAATATATTTTAATGAGGTTCAACCAAACTAGTTTCAGCTGTTTACAATAGGTATATTTACCTATCTCACGGTTACGAGATATTATATCTGATTATAATATTTTATAGTTACAMAACAAATCTTATATCAACAAATTTTCAATAATTCATAGAAAATAATTTTAAAAGTTTTATAATTTTATTTATGAAAAACAAATTTCTTAAGAAAACAATATGAATGAATATCAACGAGTGGAAATGATGGAAGATAAGCGATGGACAAATATTTTGAAATGTGACATTATGGAAAATATTACAAAATTGGGAGATGCAGAGCAACATGATCGTCTTGCAGAAATGGATGTCAATATGCTAAATGAAAATATTCATCTTCAAAATCTGAAAAAAAATATTGGAAAATATCATGATGAATTTAAAGTGGTAAATGAAGACTTTAAAGATATAATTTTATCTGGTGTTGGAAATAAGATTTTGTTAGAAAGATATAGACATTTACGTCCAGATAAAATAAAATTGAGCATGAATAATACTATACACACAATTAATAATGCATCGAATGCACGAATTGAGCGATTTAATATAGCAAAAAAAAAATTGGAGGATATACACAGACATCCGACTCTAAAGAAAAATGATCAACATATCAAAAGAAATAAAATGGAAGCAATAATGGGAAAAATCGTAAACAAAATTAAGAGAACTGCACTGGTTGACTCGACCAAAAGAACAACAAAAAAAATGGTGGATGATGTTAAACAAAATTTAATCAAATATGACACAGTAATAGAACAATTACAGAATGATGCTAAATCAATGGCCGTGATCATTATGAAAGAAATTGAAACTGGTACAAATTTTAACCAAGACTCAGTAAATTATATTAAAAGTTATTTTTCTGAGAAGGATGCTAATGAAAAATGTATCAATACAAACACGTCTTACATAGACAAAATAGATGCAATAATGGATTCAATGGAACGCAGTAGGTAAATTATATAATATTTATGTTTAAAGCTTATAAAACAGTGTAGGTACTCAAGATTTTAAAATAAATGCAATCAATCGTTATACAAATAAAAATTTTAAATATATTTATGCAGTATTACAATATATCTAGATACTGTTGAATATTTTTTATTTATTTATTTTTCATAAGATACCATTCGCAAAAAGAATTAATTTTTTAATTATCAATTAATTACGTAGTCGATCATCGCTATCAAATGAATAAACACACTAAATTTGTTATTTAATTTAGAAAGTCATTAATGCAAGAGAAGCCGGTCACAAAAATTGAAGAAAAGTTTTATTCAGAACTTCCATGGGCAATTGATACAACTGATAAAGCTACTTCGATTGCTGAAACTAGTAAACATAAAGAAACAAATAATAAAAACAATAATTGGTGTGGTAATATTTCACAATTTGGAATAATGCACTACGTCCATCCAGATGACAAAACTAAATATTTGAACAATTTAAAAAATAACACAAATGTTTCATATATCGACTATAAGTTTCCTGAAAATATCTTTGACTATATAACTATTAGTGATAGTCAACCAACAAACGATAAGATAGCCGCCGATTGCATACTTAATCAATTAGAGTATAATAATATTGAAGATTTAGTAAAATGTGTCGAATGTACTAAAGAAGATTTAATAAAATTAAGCCAGTTGTCAACTTTAAGAACGGCTTTACAGAATTTATTATTGAAGGAAAAGTTATATAAAAAAGAAACTATCGATAAATTGAAACTTTTGACTATCAAAGATATTGAATTCACTAAACAAGTGGAGAGTTTCAAAGCATTCATTGATGACCAAAATAAAAAAATATCTGAACTTGAAAAAATCAAAACTTACTATTTGAAATTGTTTAATGATTTGTATTTCTACTTGGACAATATTAAAATTATACTTAAAAAACTCGATGTAAGTGTTTTATTATACTTAAATATTTAAAATATCTAACAGTTTAATGTTATCGGAATTTTAGGTTTCAATTGACGATTCTAAACAATTAGAATTTATCAAAAATCTGACTTCACAARCCAATAATGTAGATACTGCCACTGAGGAATTAATGAAATCAATAGAAGATATAAAATCAATGATCGTTATAATTAATGGAAAGTTTGGATGGTGTAATTTGATTATACCGGATGAATTCGATTTCAAAAAATTGAATTTTGCTCGTGCGATGTATGTGTATAAAGTTCAAGAATTCCTACACGCAGAAATATTGAAGAAAAATATGAAATTCTCTCTTTTAATAAAAAAAAGTAAAGCAGCAGATATGCCAAAAAAATCTGAATACATCTTAACTAGAGATGATATGAAAAGACAAGCTGAACAAATTGTAAAAATGTTTAATGAAAAAGATACGGATGGTTCGAAAAACAGGAGAAAACCAATATCTTTCAGAAAAAGTTTTATATAGGTAGTTTGACGCAATTAATCAAAATTGATTGTGTATAGATTTGCAAATTTTAATCAATCGAAACTTTGAAAATTAAAAACAAAATTGTTTATGTTTTCTTTCTTTTTCTCTTCTCTGCTCTATTGAAGTGTTTTTTATCGAGTAGGTGCTAGGTAATGAATTTGTCAATTTGATCTACTAACGATAAGTTATACTTAGGTTTTATTGTAAATAAATGTCCTTAAATTTATTAAGGTACATACTACATAATAATGATAATAATATAAACTTGGTATTAGGAAAATTAGTTTTGAAAATAGTAACAATAATATTACGTTAGCTACTCATTATAGTTGTTACATTAAATATTTTTAAATAACATCCATTAATTTTATCACGTAAGACGTAACACTAATTTTTCATTTAAAAAGTCGAGTCTTATAATATTTGAAGCAAAGTTATGTGTAAACCTGTAAACGATTATTAAAAAAATAATTGTGAAAAATATACGGCCCTAAACTCAATGTCATATTTTAGCCATAATAGCTACGGTTAAAATAATTATAATTTAATTTAATTTTTGAATCGCAACTCATTTATTTTTCGTTGGAAAAATTCTTGACATCTACGAGTACAATATTATTGTTGAATATCATCCAAACTTTTTGGAATTTAAAATAAATTTAATTGGCTTTTAATCTTTTTTAAATATCATAGAGTCCCTRTGTTTTATTATTATAGGTATTAGGTACATTCTACATTCATAGTTCTTTTAAATAATTTAGAAAATAACCAGTTACTCTGTGGAAAAAACTTTTAAAAAGTAATTTCAATTAAATAGTTAGTTTGTTCTGCATATTAAAGTCATATAGATTCCTCATTAGTCATTGTCATTGCCCATTGCTTTTAAGTTTTATTTACTAAGCCGTAACCTGTAGATATTGCTTGTTACATTTTTAATCAATGCTAAAAGTATATAGGTACTGACGTACTGTTTAAATTCAGTAACATAACAAACGTGAATCGCTATATTCATGCGATTATGACCATCTATTCTGTGTGACCGTGTAGTAGATTAAGGTTTTGGGAAAATATGGGCTTGGAGAAAATGTCGTTTCAAGCAAAATGTTGTTCATAACAAATTTCTGCCTTATCTGTCAGGAACCTTATGACTGATAAGAGACAACGAATGAGCCAGAAACGGCAGAARCACATTTTCCATTATTTTTTGTTATACATTTTTAATAATTTATTATATTTTGGGTGCACTAAAAATGTTTTTGAATACCATTCGTACATTGTCGTCTACATTTTTCAAAACATCAAGTGGTCTATCTACTGGGAACTACATTGTGCCTGTAAGTTTACATCAATACATTATAACAATTATAATAAAATAAAAATAAATTATATACGTATATTTTTAAATAATTAATCTTTGTTTCCACGGACTATTCTATTTAGAAAAACGGAAGAAGTGTATTTACAAACGTGGTCAAATATAATGAATTGTCGACTAAAGATGAAGTGCAACGAGATTCGCCAAAAGATAGGTCGACTGTGATTTCACCCGAAACTAGTATTGAATATCTAAAAAGTGATGGTATGAAATTATTAATATTTTTCTAGAATAAATAAATATATTTATTKGGTTATTTACTATTAATTATAGTTAAGAATTCTATCACCATGTTGATTTTTTTCATGTTTAGAACCAAAAATGATAGAGAACTGCTTATCAGTACTGCTCCAAAGTTAATTAATTAATGACAGTAGCTGACAATAAACACTAAAATATTTTTTTTCTAGTTAAAAAACTAGGTTTTTATTTATATCAGTTTAATTTGATATACAATTCAGGATTTATAATGTTAACAATTTTCCTAAAGAAGGACATTTAATARYACTATTGTTTCTAATTCTATATAGTTATTTAATTATATTAAATTTAGATGTAGTTTTACTAGAAAACTTAATTAAAAAAGATTACTGCCTTAAATCTTTAAAAACAATAAAATCATTCTTGTTGGATATTAGTGTATTTTCTTGGACTGCTATCTAATAGATTTTTTCTTATTATCTTTACTTGGTAAATTATGGCGGGCCTATATAAATCAGAAACTAATTTAATTTGAAAAAAATATTGGGTTATGTTTTTAGTTCAGAATATCATTTGTACCAAATGATAATATAATCTAGGAATATTATATTTTAATATTATATAGTATATTATAATACAAGAATAGTATTTTCTTGAATTAATATTTACTAAAATCACCCAAAGTTGGATGATATAAAAAGTAAAATACATTTTAAGAATTGTGTTTGTTGAAATAATACTAACTATTGTTTAATATATTAATCAATATTCTGGTTTCTAAAAATCTGGATAAAATTAAATAAATAAATAGGTATATTAATTAACAGGATTAAAATTACAGTAAGATTTTTATTTAATTTCAGCCCCGAATTTTGTATTTTTGAGTAATATTATCCTTATTAATATTGTTCCTAATGGATTTATTTTATCCTAGTTTTTTACAATTCCTGTAAAAATATCAATTTAAGAAAATAATACATTGTATAGTACCTTTCCTCCTAAGTTTCTTAGAAATATTGTTCTATATCATTTCAAAAAAATATTCTCCCAAAAATATTGATTCCTGTAATTATTATCCTGGTTTTTATGCAGCCCCATAAAATTACTGTGATATTCAATGAAATCCGCAAACATTCATTATGTGTTTATGAATGAATAGGTGTTCATAAACAAAAAATATGTTTACATATTAACTTGATTATTTCATTTTCAATATATCTCTTTCAGAGTAACAAAAACATTGTAATTATAAATAAATAAAGAGTATTTAATATTATTTACATATTATATTACTTATCAATAAAATCTAGTACTAAAATAGCCTTATAAGTATTAACTGCACTTGCAATGGTTTATTGAAAATTTATTATATTTTTTCTTGTTACATTTTAATTTAAAATAATTATAAGTAAAGTAATATAATTGTTTTATTTATTTACAGCATACAAATTAACTTATGGAAATAATCCCGTATGGAAAGAATATCGGCGTAATCACAAAGGAAGTATTCCACCACAAAAAACTAGGAAAATGTGTATTGTGAGTTGTAAATTAAATTAACCACTTGAATAGTTTTTCATACTTGAATTTCATTAATTATAATCATATATTTTCATATTTAGAGATCTGATAAGATTTCAACTGGTAATCCGTGTCCAGTATGTCGTGACGAATACCTCATACTCGACTACAAAAATGTGGATTTGCTCAAACAATTCATATCTCCTTATTCGGGAAAACTATTATCCTATAAGTATGTATAATAATTTATATTTACAAATGTGTTGAAACCCTCAACTTGGCATTTTTTACTATATGTATACATGTTTGAAAATTTAAAAATTTAAATAATATATACTCTGTTCAAGTTTAGAAATATAGTTGGTGGCCAACTTGTGTGTTTGGACGGGCAATATTACATGACAAGTGAATAAATAGTTAACATAGTGTGGGGGGGGGGACAAATTAGTGTTTCCTGACTGCAGCCTGAAAAAAATTAGTTGCTGCTGACAATGTTTCTTAACTTTAACTGAGTATAATATATTAAATATACTTAAAATATACATATTATTTTTTTACAACTCCTATTGAAAATATCTATGTACACCACTGCAGTTGTATTGAGAAAATATAGAAACAATACTCTATGATATTTAAAAGGATATATATGTATTAAGTAGATTACAATATTATTAAAACATTTCTATGTATAAAATTATTTTCTGTTTATATTATAGAAGTATAAATAAATTATACCTATTACGGTATTATAATTATTCTTAATAGACAATATCTGTTTTCCAAATAATAATAGTTCATCGAACATTTTCTTAATAATTTGTATAATATAATTTTTTTTTTTCAGATTAACAGGAATTTGCCAAAAACAACACGAAAAATTGATAGTTGCCGTAAAAAAAGCAAAAGACTGGGGATTTATTAAATTTGATCTTCCAATCAAACATTATAATTATGATGAATTTAAAAATTCTAATTAGTGTAAAATTGATCGTACATAAATAATGTAACTGAACTTGTACAGAAATACTTGTTTGATTTGTAGATGCACATTCTTATATTAGTGTTATTTTTTTTTTAAATATTAATTATAATATTTTCATACTAAACCATTGTATTACTTCTAAAATATACACAAATAAGTAATAATTCTGTTGCTACAATAGTTATATTTATGTGAGCAGTCAATCTATACCAAAAAAAAAATAATTTCAAAGATGTTTATAAATGTAATATGATAATTACAACATAAGGAAATTTATGAATATTTACGATAAATGGAGTTAATTCAAAAGTATTTTATATGGATTAAATTGTAATTTTAAATTTATAAAAACTTCATTAGTCATAATAATAATAATTCCACAAATATGTTTTAAATATAAAACAACTTATTTTACAAATGTTGATGTTTTTATTTTTGTTTAGTTAAAATTTTATTATGATAATTCTTGAATATTCTACAAATATTTCTATCAGATATTTTTGTAAATGCAATTCATTATTGCTTTGATGTATCTTTGTTGAAGATTATAAGTTTTATAATAATAATAGGTGTACAATATTTTAATTAAAGTAGTTTATAATGTTATGGTTAGGTAATTTAAAATAAAAAGATATTATTTTATAGTTGAAATTCTTGTTCCTTGGATTTTATCATTGGAAATTTTCAATTCTTATTACCAGTTATCATTTTCTTAATTAACCTTAAAGAAAAAATTCACATTTTATTCATCTCATCTCTAAATAAAATTGAAAAGTAGATTATATTCCAATGATTTAACATTAAGATGTCAAATCTATAATCGAAAAAAATGCATATTGTCGCTTTAATTTCCAAAAGTTATCTACCTATTTTCAATATATAATATATGATAAATACTCAAATATTAATACTATCACTTTTCAATAGAAAAATTAAAAAAAATAATTACAGAATTAAGTCAATAATCTTTCAGATGCTTTTAACACTATAATTTTATTCATGGCATGATTATAATATAATGTTTATAAAGTTAATATAGTTTATTTTAATTTAAATACCTATTTATGAAAATTTAATAATTTATCATTTATTATATCTTATTTAATTTTAAATGTATGCTAATTGAGTAAATACTCAGTAAGGTTAATTTAGAATGTTTTAAAGCCAATTACTAACTTAAATTAAATTTTATACTTCCATTATATACTTTTGATTTTCAAAAAAACGCTATTTAAGGGGTAGAGACTTAGCATCTTAACAGTCATATTTTCCTCCTTCTCCCAATCACCACATGATAATAATAAAATTAAAAACATTTTTATTTAAAATAATAATTAAAAAAAAAAATTAGATTTTCAAAATGGATCAGAAACTGTTTTCAATATAATTATCCTGTGTATTTCATTGATTGATTACTATTAATATTTATAAGTTATATTTATTTTTATTTTGCTATTTTGACAGTTATTTTCTACTATTTTGGATTTTATATATTTTTTTTAAGAATCTTCAAGAAACTTCACAAAATCACACCATTCCCCACATCTATCATCGAACACTATCAAGCTAAAGGGGACCAATATTATTATAATATTATAGGCACCTGCATAACGCTATAGCTCGCTGAATTTGATCGAAATTCAAGTTCGATCCATTTTATTATTTAAATATAATTTTACTGTTCTAAGTAGATAATTTTTATATTAAATATATTTTAGCCGATTAATTATTGGGAATTTTCCATTTTTATATCTCTACCAACTTTCAAGTACCAACTAGGTTCACTTTTATATCAGAAAAGTTGSTGATTTTGAAAATCAAAACATTTGTACAATCGATAATGTTGATGATATATAGAAAAAAAATATCTTTATAAATACAATACATTCATTTACTACGCTCAGAATATAAAAGATAGGTTATTTCAATAATAATTTAAATTAGTTTAAGTTCATAAGTTAATTAGAAAATTAACTAACAAGGAAATAAATTTTAAAAGTTTAAAAAAATTTAATTTTAACTAGTTAATTTCCATTGCTCAAATTTGCATGTAACCTATTTATTACATAGATCGATACATTTTATGACTCAATATTTTTTCAAGCTATGCTCGAAAACTGTTACTTATAATTAGGTGCATTAAATTACTGTTTATTGTTTAGTTTATATAGGTACATAATATACATTATGATAATATGTGCCTATGATAAATATAACTTTATATAGCTACTAAAGAATGTGATGATAAAAATATAACAATTGATTATATTTTTACAGCACTCGTTATTTACCCAAATTAAAAAAATCCAAGTTTTAACATCAGATGCTCATAAAAAATAAGAGGACACCCGCATTGAAACTGCTATAACTTCTGATGAAAAATTTTCAAATTTTGTACAATCACTTGAAAAACCATGTATTAAGAATGCTGCATCAGATAAGTATAATATATAAGCATGTTTTTAAATAATGTTTTAACACTCTTAAAAACACAAAATTAAAAAATAGGTCACTCCGTATAGTAGGTACCTAGGTAGTAGGTATATTTTTATACCAAATATGATGGCGGCTTCATGTATAACTTTTTTTTTTAATTTCTACTAAAAACAGCTTATGAGGGACTTTCTATTCAATTTTTAAGTATTTCTACCGAATGAAATTTTGTTATCAACAATTCAAATACAAACTTATACAATTTTAAATTTTCTTATGCCTATATTATGAAATTTCAAATCTAAACATTCGTCAACATGTATGCCGTATACGGTATTTTTTTTAGAAACACCAAAAAAACAAAATCGATKTTTTTGAAAACTGGTTTTAATTACTTTTCTATTGCTTCAGAACTTGCATGTCAGACATTTTATTGAGTAAATAAAGAAATTAACTCAGACGTCCTAAACAGTTTTGAAGTAACAAAATAAACTGTAACGAATATCAACCATCTACTCAATCGGAACGATCCTGTAGCACTTATGTACTAAAAAGTGGGTAAATAAGTATTTATTGCTCTGCTGTACTGAAGTATATAGGTGTCGACTGTCGAGTGTTTTATAATAAATGTGTTAAATAAATTGAATTCAAATAAAATTCATTGCATTTACAAAAAACGATTCTATAAGTGGAGACGGTCCCAATATATGAATTAAAACATATAGGTACCTATACTTATACTTTAAGGCAGTGGTGTAACTGGATAAAAATCTAAGGGAGGAAATAATTTACTCACCATGATCAAAACCCTGACCCCCCTCCATCGATTTAGTATTAAGACTCATTTTATGGTTTAGAAATAAAATGTAAGTAGCAGTTACTGCAAGGTACCTATATCTATATTGTTAAATAGTAGCTATTTAAGAGTTAATAATTAATGAAAAGGTGCTATACCTAATGGCAGTTTAAAAAAGTAACTATTGTATAAATATTGTTCACACATA